CCTGTTTATGCAGAAGCTTATGTCACTGTTCATCATTATGACATTGTTCTTGATGTTACAGTTATTAACAGAACCAAAGAGACTCTTCAGAACTTGTGCCTTGAGTTGGCCACTATGGGTGACCTCAAACTTGTYGAACGSCCTCAAAACTATACGCTTGCTCCAGAGTCAAGCAGACAAATAAAGGCTAACATCAAGGTTTCTTCTACTGAAACAGGAGTCATATTTGGTAACATTGTRTAYGAGACWTCTTCTAATGTGCTCGAGAGAACAGTCATAGTTCTTAATGATATCCACATTGATATAATGGATTACATTTCTCCTGCATCCTGTACTGATGTGGCATTTAGAGCAATGTGGGCTGAATTTGAGTGGGAAAACAAGGTACACTATCTTGTATCTTCTTTGGTAACATTCACTTTATAACTACCAGGATTTTGTATTTTACTTGCTGAATGATGACCATCCAGATATGAAAGAATTAAATAGAGAGTTCAATGTTCAGATTTTCTAAACTGGATATAGGTTGTCTTGAAAATGGATGTAGTCTGAGTTTTTCTTTGGGAGAGGATAGCTCAGCAAGCCATTATTAAGTATGAATTTGCACCTTGAAAAAAAAAAAGGTTTGACTCCATTGAGTGGTTATGGTCTGGATTCATGCACTTTGGTATATTGTCTATGCTCTTGGGTCAACCACTTCTCCAAACTTTTGGATTGGCTTGTTTTGACTTTAGTGTCTTGAGAATGGCTTGCATGGAAGTTGCTTTCTACTCCTGTATTATTTTTCGTTTAGATGAGAATGTTGAAAGGTTTTGGACTTTGTGTTATCTATCAAGGATGACTTATTGTTTTAAATTTATTCTGCAAACTTATTTCTGCCTTTTCTTTTAACTTCAAGTATCTATCCTTTAGTAAGGCTTTCACCATTATTCGTGGAGTTGTTGAGATAGGACTGCTTGTCCGTATATGCACACTTTTCAATGTGAACTTCCTTTTTCCTTATTTAAAGACAGTAAAGAAATTGTCGTACACTAAAATTTGATTATGGTTCTTTTTGACTGCAGGTTGCTGTGAACACAATAATTCAAGATGAGAAGGAATTTCTAAATCACATTATGAAGTCGACTAATATGAAGTGCCTGACACCAATGTAAGATCCTTCAGTCTAGTATATTCTCTTTAACCTTTTGGATGCTTTATGCTTATGTGGACAGGACACCTGGCACTATAGGACTGTTTATATGTTCATATTGTAGCCTGGTACTTGTACTGCAATCCCTTCAAATTTAAAATCTTCTTTCTGCTGGGACTTGCTGTTGCAACTGCCTGTTTGGTGTCAGCTGTCTCAAATGCAATTTACCTTACATTTTCCAGTCCATTAATAATGTTTATAATGAACCCAACTGCTTGCTATTGCTACTAACCTGAAGATAGAGATTCTGATGTCATATTAAAGGGTTTTTTTTAATAGTAATTACATGCTGGGTTTATATTCTCTTTTCTCAGTATAGCCATTAACTTCACACGGAACCTTTTTCCGGGGGAAGGGACGGGGTGGGGGTGGTGTAGGTGGTGGATATATGTGCTTACCTCTGTATTTAATTCTCTCTCCTTTTGATTTTGGGCATCAGATCGGCATTGGAAGGCGAATGTGGTTTTCTTGCTGCTAACCTTTATGCAAAGAGTGTTTTTGGAGAAGATGCTTTGGTGAATGTGAGCATTGAAAAGCAATCAGATAGCAAGTTGAGTGGGTACATCAGGATAAGAAGCAAGACTCAAGGTATTGCTCTCAGTCTCGGAGATAAGATCACTTTGAAACAGAAGGGAGGCTCATGAACATTCAAATTTGATTAATAATATTTGGAATTTTGCTTCAACCTCTCACTGTATTGCCTGCCCTCCTTTGCGGCCATTCGAACTCGTTGCCATTTTATTTTCTTTTACTGCTCATTTTTTATTTAGACCTTGAGATATCTTGCTCTTTCTAGAAAGAGGGATCTGTTATTATGTGTTAGTGTCCACAAACAAGTGGCAATTTTATGCTGTCTTTATTCTTTTTCGTCCTCTTTTTGTAGTTATTGTGGACTACAGAGTATCTTCTACAGATAAATTTTTGTTGATCTTTTTACATGATTTAGATGTCTGTTCGTCAAACTAATAGTATGGAAAATTAATAACAAGTTATTGAGAACTGTGACACTCTCTCCATTTTCTTTTAGATGACACGGGAACAAATGATAAAAATATCATTCATCTGCGTTTGCTTTTTAAATAGAATTATTTTGTTATCATCAGAAAGGGGGTTTGGGCTGGGTGGTGCGAAATTGGGATGGTGTTATTATCTTGGCAGGCAAACCAGTTGGTCAGTGGCCGAAAAATGTGAAGAGGTTGGAGGCCATGACCATCTTTGAGGGCTTACGGAATTTGCTTGGTCAGGTGGCCTATCCGATCCTAGTAGAGTCTCATTCGGTTGAAGTGRTGAAGTTGTTTCGTATGGGAAGAAGACGATCTTACTGACATTGTGTGGGTTATCAATGAAATCTTGAGTTTGAAGAATCCTTGTCATTTCAGTAAGGTGGACAGAGAGGGCAAGGCAATTGTTGTGCCCACTCCCTTGCACGTTGAACTCTTGAGTGTGAGGAAAGTAATTGTTAGGAGTTTGATATCCCAGAGTGGTTGACTATCTTGGCCTTTCAAGATTGTTCTCATGTTTTTTTTCCAAAAAAAAAGTAGAACTGTTTTGTAATTGTAGCGTGTTTTTACAAGCAACGGATTCCAGTTGAAAAAACTTAAAACGTAACTATTTGTTGAAATTTAGAGACTGGGCCAAAATTACTCGAATGTATAATTCAATATTTGATGATAAATGACTCTGAGTGAATATTGTTTACAAACGTCTCTAATTACTACACTTCTTAAAGTTACACGAATTCATTCAAAATATATATACAACATTGTGGTTAAGGTACGTTGCTCCTTCCCTTGAGGATGGAGGTTTGATCTCCCGTCCCCACATCTATTTACTAAATACTACGGAAAAAAAAAAATCTAGAGAGGAGAAAATGAGCTTACAAGTATTTATTTACATGCCAAAACTTAGGAAATTACATACACGTGAAAGAAATGGTCGTTTTATGATCAAATTAGAGCATTCATCAAAACTGGCTATGAAGAGAAGCAAGAAACGAGGTTATTCATTTATGATGTGATGGCTCGTCTTTGAATCAATCAAGTGGTTGACAACATCTCTCATTGTAGGTCTCTTGTTAGGCTCCTTTTCTGTGCATCTCAAAGCCACCATAAGCACCTGCTTAATCTGCTCCCTCCGCTCAGAATCTACAAGTTCTTCCTCAAGCCTTGGATCAACAATTCTTTCGATTTCTTGCGTCTCGCTCCAAACCGACCAGACCCAACCCATGATACTCCCTACCTCCATAAATGATGGATCTGATGGCTTCTTCCTCGTTATCAGCTCCAGTAAGACCACCCCATAACTGTAAACGTCTGAAGCTTTGCTCTTTGTCGCTGAGTATGCATTCTCTGTCACAAGCCCATTACACAACACACTTCAATCTTTCTAAAACAAAGGCATGAGAATTCAGAGCTAGTCAATTATTTATGTGTAGAGTCATACCTGGTGCAATATAACCGATCGTACCCGCAAAAGAAGATGAAGCCATTGATGCAGAAGTTTGATCCAGCAGCTTCGCAAGACCGAAATCGGCGATACAAGGATTCATCTCCGAGTCGAGAAGTATATTCTGCGGCTTGATGTCTCGGTGTATTATAGGAGGATCACAGTCATAATGGAGATATGCCAATCCATGTGCAATACCAGTGGCTATATTATGGCGGACTTCCCATGTTAGAGTTGGAGCTGGATTCATATCATGCAACACATCATAAAGGCTCCCATTCGGCTGGTATCTGTAAAGCAAAAGACCATGGTCTTTCCCCAACCAAAAGTCTTCCAAAGTGATCAGATTCCGGTGCCTGATGTTGCCGACTGTTCGAATTTCTCTAACCATACTCTGGCTTCCTCCTTTAATACCTCCAAATGTAAGCTTCTTTACAGCAAAAGTCCTATTTGGTTCCAGGGAAGCCTTATAAACAACTCCATGTGCTCCTCTACCAATGACGAAACGCTCGTCTAGATTATCAGTGGCCTCCCTAACTTTGTCCAGCAAGGAAGTTGTTCCATTTTCTGCAGGGGTCTCAATTTTCTGCTTGTTTCTTCTGCTATAAACAAACTTATAAGCCAACCCCAGAAGCAGAAAAATAATAAAGAGTGAAGATCCGAGAGCTATCATTGCAATTTGTATGTTGCTAAGACGAGAGCTATCACGAGAGCTTGAAGAACTAACACAAGGTTTGATACTGCTACTTCTATTGCATCTTGAGCCATCTAGTTCATCACAGCTGATGCACAGTCCAGGGTTACCTAAGAACGACGATGAATGAGAATTCAGAAACTTCATTAATGTCTGTGGCACAGGGCCCGTGAAGAAGTTATCTGAAATGTTAACCTCAACTAACGATGAACCGAGTTCGCCAAGAACTCTTAAACTTCCAGTTAAATTATTGTGAGATATATCTAACTCCTGTAGCTTGACCAGACTCACTAGCTCAGAAGGTATTTGGCCAGTTAACCCATTGTTACTGAGATTCAAGGAATAGAACAGATTCTTCAAAGCTCCAATAGATGAGGGAATTTCACCTCCAAACAAATTGCCACCAAGATCTAGCAGTGAAAGGCTTTCCATTTCTGATAATAGATCCGGGATGCCTCCAGTAAATTGATTCTCTTTTAATATCAACGTGGATATAACTTTCCAGCTGCCTAAACTATGAGGTACGGAACCATTCAATAAATTGAATCCTACATCAAATTCATCCAGTTTGGTACAATTTGACAGGGAAGATGGCAAAGGTCCTTCCAAGAAGTTGTGAGACAAGCTCAAACCTTGAATATTCACAAGATTTCCCAACTCTATAGGTATAACACCTGTTAACTTGTTGCTTGACAAATTAATTGAGGTGACATCGATGCAGTTTCCCAAACTTGAGGGAATTGTTCCATTCAGGTTATTTTCACTGGCATCTATGTACCGAAGGCTGTGGTTTCTCACAAATGTTGGCA